CTTGCCTGGGTGCAGAAGATGGAAAACTGGCAGCCTGACCATCCCAGGTAACCCCAGCCCAGAACCATGGCTGTGAATTATCCCACTTACCATCTTCTTTATCCATGGACTGCTGGAGCAGGTAAAGGGCCCAGTTCTGAAGAGCTAAAGCTGCTGGATCTCTATGACACAAGGCATCATTAGAATATCCAAGAAGAGTACAAATGAAGGTCCATCATCTATAGTGTGGAGAAGCCAGAGAGGCCTGGAACACTTACAAGAAAAGATGTATGGACTAAAGGGTACACTATGTAAATCACTGGGTCACACTAAAACTTCCTTGCCAAAACTTTGTTTGTTTTTAAATTTGGGTTTTCAATTTTCCTTTTAAATTTTGTTTTGTTTTCGGGGAATTTCAAAGGCAGAGCTCAGGTGTGAAGGAATGGATAATGGGAAAAGTTGGATTGGGATGCATGATGTGAAACCAACAGAGAATAATAAAATGTTTAAAATAAAAAAGAAATTAGGAAAACCAGAGCTATCTGCCCATGGTTTCCCTGGAATATAGTATCAATGATAACCAGACTGCAGACATAATGAATTACAGAATTACAATATATGTTGGGACTTTTTTTTTTGGTGCTTTTGTCCTTAACTATGAATTGGTTCAATTTTTTTTAAAGATTTATTTCTTTTATTTATATCTATGGGTGTTTTGCCTGCTGCAGGGCTGTACACCATGTGCATGCAATTTCACCAGAGGCCAGAAGAAGGCATCAGATTCCATCTGAACCTGGAGGTAAAGAGGATTTTCAGCTGCTCTGTTGGTCCTTTGGAAGAGAAACTACTCAAAATGGAGGAGCCATCTCTCCAGACCCTGCACTTGTCTTTTGTCCATTTAGTTATGTATGCTGTGTTAGTTTGAATGAATCAGCCCCAACCATTTCAGGAGACCAGTAGGGACAAGCATATGATGTAGGCATTGTAATTGTCTTAGGATGCCAGGCATTCATGCAAGGCATTGGTGGGTTCAAGATCCTGCTCCAGCATCACTTATTGTCAGGGTTAGACCAGATCTCTCACATCTCGTCCTGGATGACAATGCAGATTGGGGCCATCTGATGAAATGCAGAATTGAGAAGACACTCCTGGTGGTGGAGGTGTCGTTAGGAGTCCCTCTTGATGCTGCAGCTAAGCAGTGTTGGGAGTAAGCTTCACACCAGCCAGTGTGGATGGAGCCTGCAGCAAAAGTGACATGCCAGTCATGAGGAGCATGTCTGTACAAGGCTAGGAAAGGACAGGGATGGTTGATGGTGCTCTTCAACCACAGCTGATCTCACTGTGTACTGAGGAAGGGTTTCTTCCAGATGAGTGCTTTATTTCGGTGAAGCTCCACTGAACTGGATTTGATTTCTGAGACAGAGAATCAGAGAGTTAGTGTGTGGAGGAAGTAATCCTGTGGGATAACAAACTGGTGCTGTCAAACAAGGGTAGAAAGAATCTACTCTTTATGAATAAAGACCATAAACACACAGAACATCAATACAGTTACAAAGCTCATCAATTCCATGGATGATGTGATCAGCTGGAGAGACGGCTCAGTGGGCAAAGGTAACTGCTCCTAGGCCTACAGTCCTGAGTTCCTTCCCTAGGACTCACATGATTGAAGGAGAGAACAAACCTCTGAGAAATTGTCCCCTGATCTTAGTACAAGTGTAGGTACATGGTCATGGACCACAATAGCTAAGCCTTTCTATTCCTCTCACTTACCCTAGAATCTCTCCATCTGAGGCACTCTTTTAATTATATTACTCTGCATTCCATTTGAGAGATTTGGGACATTTGCTATTTTACTCTTGTTGCTTAGATGTTATAAGAACCAAGAAGGCTGACACCAAAGCACCACCTGAAGAATGGTTAAGGGAAGGTGGCCACTGGGAATTTGTGACATAGTTGAGACACAAACTGCTCTAGAATGTCTTTTCTACATGCCTGGTGTATTAGTCAGGGCTTACTAGAGTAACAGAAGTTATAAACTGAAGCTCTCTATATCTAGAAGGGGGATTTATTTTAGAATGACTTTCAGGCTATGATTCAGCTAATACAATGATGGCTGGCTATGATGGAAAGTCCAATAATCCGGTAGATGCTTAGTCTACAAGACTGGATGTCTCTACTGGTATGCTGTAATATGTGTATGCTGGAATCTTAAAGAAGTAGAGCTCTAATGCCAGTGCTTGTTAGCTCTAATGCTAACAAGGAGAGAGCAAGCAGAGAAAGTGTAGAAGCTTCCTTCATCCATGTCATCCTATAGGCTTCCAGCAGGAATGGTCCAGATTACATCTGGATTAAAGATATGAATTAAAGTTGTGACTTCCTACCTCAAAGATCCAGACTAGAAGTAGATCTTCCTACTTCTAGCAGGTTAAGCAGAAATTAAGCAGAAATCTCCCATAGGTGTGCCCTATATATTTTGGTTTTAGTTAATACCAGATGTATTCATGTTGACAACTAAGATTAGCCAACACAGTAGTATTCCCCTCTTCACTAATATTCACGAGCAAATGGCTCCCTTAGAGAGTGAAAGGAAGGAGTGACAATAATCAAAAGGTACATCTGAGTCAGCTGTAGATCCCATGGTCATGATGACTTTTATTGGCCTCTTTATGGCCATGGTTGGCTGAAATAGGGAAAAATACCTGTCTCTAGTTTCTTGGGTAGTAGGGGATGAGCTAGAAACCCAGTTACAAGTCTCTGGCCTTTCTATACAATTGGAGAGTAGACATTGAAATAAGTGTGATGTGTCTGGTAGTAACTGGTGGAAAGGGGTCCAAGAGGGACAAATGGGTCTCTTTAAAGAGAACGGGTAAAGGCCTCTCACAGCAAACATACTGGACCTGTCAGAAAGAGTGGGGTTCCTCAGGCCATGGGAATATGGCCTTTAAATCCTCCAGACTCCTTCTTGCTCATTCCATGTATCCTGAAAAGGAAAGACAAAAAAGAAAAAAAAAAACGAAAAAATCAAAAACTCTCTCTTAAACAGCAGGGCCCAGTGAAGACTTCTGTGGGTCTTCATTGCATACATCAGGTAGAAATCATCAATTGTTTTCAAAGCAAAAATGGTTTATTAGGATTTGAAGTTTACTGAGGGTCAAAGAGGCAGGATTGGAGACAGCAGCAATAGGAAACAAACCATACTCCAGAGTGAAATCATGTTACAGAGCTCACCACAGACACTACCATGATGAGTGTGGGCATTGCAGTGTGTGTCTCCAAGAATAATGACAATAGACAATGTGCCTGGTGCTGCTTTAGAAGCTTTCAACATCCATGGCTCTGAAAATGGGATGCAGCCTTCCCCAAATCAAACAGAATGGACTCCTCCATTTCTCTAGAACATAAGCTCTGGCATCCAGTTGGTGATTTGGGCTTGTATTTGGGACATGGTCTCTGTAGTAAGTGGTAGGGTTTCTGATGGGAACTCCTCCACCAAAAAACTGGAAGGATGCTCAAAGGTGCTGTCAGCCAGCAGCCCCTCCCCATGTTATCCTGCAGCCTCCAGAAGGGACTTCAATAGTCTAATTTACCAACTTTTCCTTTGTGGCTTGGGTTTATTGTCACTCATTATTTATTATTTCATTTCTGACATTAAATCCTTTTGAATTATTCTTCCTACAATTGAAATTTCACTATGGACATAGAATCCTATTCATGGAGGGTCACTTTTCTTTGCAGTAAGCTGAGGTTTATATTTTCTCCTTCTGGCTTGCTGTGATGGCTAATCTTGGCTGTCTACTTGACACATAGTTGAGGATTTGACTCCATCAGACTGGCTTGCAGGCATGCTTCTTTGGTATTTTCTTGTTGTTAACCAATAGGGCATGGTTCAGCCCTCTGTATGTACTGCCATTCCTAGGCAGGTGAACCTGGGCCTCAGAAGAAAGCTAGCCAAGCAGAGCAGTAAACAGCATTCTCTGTGGTTTCAAGCCCCTCCCTTGGGATCTTGCCTTGGCTTCCCTTGATGAGGATCTGCAAACTGTGAGGTGAATAAACCCTTCACTTTCCCGATTGGCACTTTGGACTTTTATCACAACAATAGAAAGCTAACTAGAACACTTGCCTTATTCTCAGGGCATGCTCTCATAGCCCATCCTTCTCCTTCCAGCCTGTAGCCTCTTTTTTTTAAACAATTACAAACTTTCTGGACACTGCAATCCGTTGCAATATCTCCTCTACCAATTACACCCACTGCCTACATATCTTTATTAAAATAATTTTTATTTTTATATTTCATATGTCATGTATTTTTATATTTCATATGACATGCTTCCCTACTTTACCCTTTCAAAATTTTCTCTGGATGTTCCTGCCTGTTCCACTTGAAAAAATATTTTTTGCCCAATAATAGGACATTTATGGTCATATTAAGTTCCACAGAAATGGATGATAATATTGTATTCACATTTTCTCTCTCTCTCTCTCTCTCTCTCTCTCTCTCTCTCTCTCTCTCTCTCTTTCTTTTTTTGGGTTTTCGAGACAGGGTTTCTCTGTGTAGCTTCGCACCTTTCCTGGAACTTGCTTTGTAGACCAGGCTAGCCTTGAACTCACAGATATCTGCCTGGCTCTGCCTCCTGAGTGCTGGGATTAAAGGCGTGCGCCACCACCGCCCGGCTTGTATTCATTGTATTTCTAATTCAATATCTATTGCATTAGTATTATTAATTTAGAAAAATTGACCTTTTATATTACCTACTTATCCACAAAACTTTAAAAACTTCAATTCATTTAAGTCTTTTGTGTCTTTCAGAACATCAGCTTTGAAGGTCTTGCATGTATTTAGGATTGCTCTTGGGTACTTCATAGCAGTTTTCATTAATAGCATTTAAAGTATGCTGATCCAAAATGTCTTGTCATACATTTTTAAGCCTTTTGTGAGTGGAACTGTTTCCCTGATTTCTTTGTCAGTATGTTTGTGATTGGTATACAGGAAGGCCACTGACTTTTGTGTGTTAATGTTGCAGTCTTTCCCTGATGACCACCAGGCTGAGCTCCGGGAATCCAATCGATGAGGGAGAGGAGGGATTCTACATGCAGGGGACGTCGAGATCATGATGGGAAGACATGCAGAGATGACCTGCCACACTAGTGGAAGCCGATAAACTGTAGACTAGTGGCTGTGGAGGCCCTATGGGACTGGACTAGGCCCTCTGGATATGAAAGATGGTTGGCTCAAACTGTTTGGGGACCACCCAGGCAGACGGATCAGGATCCGTCTCTGGTCTATGGGCAGGCTTCCGGGAACCCGGTGCCTGAGGTGTGATGCCTTTCGCAGCCTTGGTGCAGTGGAAAGGGGCTTGGACCTGCCTAGGCTCAGTGAGCTGGGCTCTGCTGACCTGGATTTGGGGGATATGGGGAGGTGGGGTGGCTTGGGAGGGAGGGCTGGGGGTGGGAGGAAGGAGGAGGTGAGATCTGTGGGTGGTATGTAGAGCAGAAAATTTCTTAATAAAGAAAAAAGAAAAAATTGCAATCTTTCACTTTTATGAATCTATTTATCAGGCTTAAGAGACTTCTGATAAGTTTTTAGTTTTATTTGTTTAGATGAATCATATCATCTGCAAATAAGGACATTTTGACTTCTCCCTTTCCCATTTGTATCTTCTTTAGCTCCTTCAGTTGTCTTATTGCTCTCGATAAGAGTTCAAGTACGCCGGGCGTTGGTGGCGCACGCCTTTAATCCCAGCACTCGGGAGGCAGAGCCAGGCGGATCTCTGTCAGTTCGAGGCCAGCCTGGGTTACCAAGTGAGCTCCAGGAAAGGTGCAAAGCTACACAGAGAAACCCTGTCTCAAAACCAAAAAAAAAAAAAAAGAGTTCAAGTACTATATTAAATGGAAGCAGGAGTGAACATCCTTTTCCTGTTCCTGTTTTTTTTGGAACTGCTTTAAGTGGGCTTGTTGTACATTGACTTTATTATGTTGAAATATATCCTCTATATACCTAGATTCTCCAGGACTTTTATTGTGAATAAAAGTTGAAGTTTTACAAAGACATTTTTTTTTCATATACTCAGAGGGTCATATTGTTTTTGTCCTTTACACATTTTATGTGGTGGAATAAATATGTTGATTTGTGTATGTTGAATTATCCTTGCACGTTTCAGGTGAAGACAACTTGACCATGGTAGATGATTTTTTTGATGTGATCCTGAACTTGATTTGCAAGTATTTTATTGAGAATTTGTGTGTATTTTGTCATCAGGGTAATAGGCCTATAATTCTATCTATCTATCATCTATCCATCCATCCATCCATCTATCTATCTATCTATCTATCTATCTATCTATCTATCTATCTATCTATCCATCTATCTATCTATCCATCTACCTACCTACCTACCTACCTACCTACCTACCTACCTACCTCCCTACCTACCTACCTCCCTCTCTCAACACCAGGGTATTCCTGGCTTAAAAAAGAATTTGGATGAGATGCTTTTTTTCGTATTTTATGGAATTCAGTCTACGGAGTGCTGATTGTTCTTTAAATGTCTGGTCAAATTCTATACCGAATCTGTCTGGCTCTGGGCTTCTTTTATTTTGTTATTATTGAATTTTTTATTTATTTTACATACCCAACCACAGTTTCCCCTCCCTCCTATCCTCCCAATCCCTCCCTCCACCTCCTTTCTACCCCCCTCCATACACTCCTCAGAAACAGTAAGACTTCCCAGGGGAGTCAACAAGGCCTGGCATATGAAGTTGAGGCAGGACCAAGTTCCTCCCCCCTGCATCAAGGCTGAGCGAGGCATCCCACTATAGGGAATAGGTTCCAAAAAGCCAGCTCATACACCAAGGACAGATGCTGGTCCCACTGTTAGGGACCTCACAAACATATCAAGCCACACAACTGTCACTCACATGCAGAGAGCCTAGGTCAGTCCCATGCAGACTCCCTAGCTGTCTTTCTAGAGTCCATGAGCTCGAGTCAGCTGCCTATGGAGTCTGTTCTTCCAACTGATGTGGGTTGTCCCTGTGCCTATGAAGTCTGTTCCTTTTACTGGTATAGGTTTTGCCTGGGCCTGTTTTTCCAATTGCTGCAGGTGGTTCCTGTGCCTCTAGGAGCTGCTGAAGTTGTGGGGGACGGTTGGTGGGGGCATGGGTTTGGTGGGTCTGGGCAGATGAGTGGGTCTCATAATTTACACAGTCCGGTGGGCAGCTGTGGTGGTAGAGCAGCCCGCCCACTAGACTTCTAACTGCTGGCAAGCTGCTGCTGCAGCTGCTACTGCGGCATTTTTAAGGAGAATGGGAGACAGAGGGTCAGGACCAGAGCTCTGCTGCAGTACAGCACCATGACACAACTCTTTCTGCTTGCATCACACACACACAACCAAGAGTGTGAATCTGCTTTGTGTTGCAGGCACATGCCTAGAGAGCCCATTTTGTTGACTTTATTAAATTTCTTTGACAAATTTCATATACGTTGTAATGCATTCCAATTATTCTTATCCCTCCATGTTGTCAATACCCACATCCCCAATCTCTTGCCCAAAATCTCATGTCATTTTGTTTTCTGAGCTACTGAGTTAAACTAGGGCCATCTGTGTGAGCCCTAGTGGAGGTATCCACTGGAGCCTGGTGGGCTTGATAGAGGGTACTAAACGGTAGACAATGAATGCCCCCTCCCCAAATCCATCAGTGGACAATAGTCCAGCAGTAGGATCAGGGCCCAGTAAGTTACTCTCCTTTCCATGGCTGATGGACAGAGACAGTCTTGCTCAGATCCAGTAGGGGACCTGCTGTGAGTTCATGACTCAACAGTGCAGGGCATTCCCAGCCCTTCTCCAGGGTTTCTGGATCTTGGGTCTTCCCGATCCCTCTTCTGCAGTGTTCCCTGAGCCTTGGAGGGACTGCTATAAAGGACTTGTTTAGGGGTAGCTCAGTGTTGTGTCAATCATTTCTCCCACCTGACACTTCTCCTTTCTAGCACCCTCTGCAAGCCCTGCCTGTCCTCCAGGGCTAGCTCCAATCTGCATTAAATCAGTCATCTCCACCTGACACATTCCAATTTAGCAAATCCGTCCTGTTTCAGCCCTTAAAAGCCAAATCTTTCCTGTTTCTTAGCCTGCCTCTAAAGTCTCAATCCCTTTCAGTTTCTCAGGTTGCTCCTTGGAGATGTCACCTCATTGCTCAATGTGACTGCTCAAGCAGTTGTCTAGAAATTGTCCCCCTTGTCAATACCTCCATACAAAACTTGGGAGTCCACTGTTCTAGGCTAACCTAATGGAATCACAGCAGACTAGAGACTGGATAAGAGGGTAAGAGTAACATGTTTGATTCGGGGAGCACTTTAGCTGACACCACAGAACTACTTGAGTAGGAACCCTTTCTCACTTAGCTGCAAGCACCAGGAATACTGTCAAAGATGCCTGGGGCCCAAACAGTCAGGGCCTCTGTGTGGTTTCCCTTTGCCCACAAGGACTGCAGTGTGTGGAGAAGCAGCTGCAGGCATTTGTGTTACTGGTTCAAAGATCTAGAAGGAAAGGTAAAGACATGAAGATAACCAGTGCTTCCCTGCCTTGTGCTGGCTACTCCCTGTGGACCAACTCAACCAAAAAGCTTGGGACCAGTCTGCTCCCAGATGCCATGTGAACCTACAAGAAAAGCCTGGATGATAACACAGGAATCAGCCAGGTACTCACTGCCCCAAAGGATCAGATGTCAAATTCTGCCTTGTCTGCTTTTTATTTTTTTTGGAATATCTGTATTTGTTATTTTCTAAAAATTGACACATAGAATTGTATATAGTTTCATGTACATGCTTGGGAAAATGTATGGGAGGATGGTTGAACCTAATTAAAATATGCATTACCTCAAAAGCTTTACATTTAAAATAATACTATATTGGAATAGGTTAGAAGCATCACTTTTAGCTTCCTGGCAGTGGTTCCTGGCAGTTAACTATCAGAACATTAAACCTCTGCCCAACTGGCTTTTTGAACAGAAACCTAGAAGCCCAAAACTTCAAGCTACTTGTGAAGCTTCCAATTTTCACTTCTGGCCAAGATGGCAAGCTTGCATGCTCTCTTAGGGTCATAAGCCAGACTAAGGTCATCCAAGCAATGGATGAAGAAAGGGGTGAGACTGATGTGCCAGGGGGATTCATGGAGTAGGGAGAGAAAAGGAGTGGTGGTGGTTATGGAAGCCCTTGTCCACAGCTTCCAGGGAAACCAGGATCTCCACCCCCAGAACCACATTCTTGTCAATAAGTATGATATCCATAGATGTGAGCATCACTGAGCCCCCTGCATTCCACAGGAATGTACAATGAACAAGCTGCATGGAGAAGTTTCACTTCAACAATACCAGGGTACCAGTGTGCAGGATGAAGCACACCAACAGACCAGGCTTGGTAGCATCACCACCACCACAGCTTTTATGTCAGACATGTTCAACATACCACTCTGTCCAACATACCACTCTTCTCTGATGGCTGTGCAAAGCAGCCCGATGTGAGAGGGGTAAGCCACATCAGGAATTGTCATATATGGAGAACTTCCAGGTGGGAACCAGTGATCCCATAGAGGACTCCCATGAGCAGCAGATCCTTGAAGAGGACAGTTCTCATGCTGTGATCCAGCTTGGGCAGGAACTCCCCACCCAATCCTGGTAGCTGAGGTCATATGTCTTTCACTTCGGGTCAGTTGTCTTCTTCTGGGTAGAGATGTGCCACCTTTAGCTTCCCTCTCCCATTCCCAGGGAAACCATCATGGAGGAGCTGGAGGTCTCTGGCATGTAGCCAGCACTGTGGTTCCCACTTGCTGGGTCACTTTTCCTATGCTGAGACTGTAGAGCAGAATTTGGCACCACTGAATTAGGGGTGGACTTCACTCCAGGGCCTGTTTGGTCAGGCCACTGACAGCACTATGCTCCGAAGCCTCTGTGCCTCTCATGTTAGATAGGTGTCCAGACTGATTGGCTGTGTGCAGATCTCCCAAGACTGAAAATTTAAAGTATAGACTGGTGATGGGTTGACCATGTCCCTTTTACCCTCTGCCAGCAAAGAGCCAAGTATACAGGGCTGGCTGCCAGAGCAGCCCCATAGGGAGGTAAAGGCCAGAGAGAGGAGGGGACAGAAGCCAAGTAGAGCCCAGCATAGACCCATTTGTGCCCTTTCAAAAACAAAATGTTTTAGCTAAAGCATGCCTTGCCTCCCTATTCTCCTTTGCCCATCCTAATGTCATTTTCTTTTTCCCACAATTCCAAAAGCAGCTGGTAATTATACTGTCACTATTTGTACTTCCTACATCTAAACAAGAGTGGGGCTTTAAAATTCAATATTGTTTCATCTCTGTGAAGTTGATATGTATTAGCCCAATTCATTCATTTAACAAAGTTGCATGCC